ATATATACATAATTATTATATTAATGTGAAGAGATCAAGATATATTAATTTTTTACAAATCTTCCACTGGAGACTCTGATTTAAAGAAATGTGTCTAGTTATCAAATTGACCAGGGGTGGATTGTGGTGGATTAACTAATGGGGGGGGGCTTGGAACACCCAGCTGAACTGAATCAGCATGGTTTGGGCATGGAAGACCCACCTGAGGATTGTTATCAATGGCATAAAGAGAACTGGAGGGGAAGATCATGGACTGTTGATTTTTCTAGGAGAAGCTTGCTGCAGTTGGTTTTCCTGACTCAAACTTGGCTGCTCTTGCCCTCTTAGAGGAGCTCAGGGCCTCAATGTTGCTGGGAATCTCTGCTGTTTTCATCAGCGGAGCTCTGATCTTCACCAGGAGTATCACTTCCTGGCTCCAATATAGATCCCTCAGCCTGGTGGCACAAATCCTTTAGCCCACAGGCACAGGTTTTCTGGCTTCCACTACTGGCCTTTGGGCCTTCCTAGTGCAGATCTTCAATACGAACAAGCATGAGACATTGTCTTGGACTCTAGGCCTTCAGCTGGACTTGTGTGGGACATTGCTGTGGGATCCAGATCCTTGGCTGGATTCTTTGGGTCTCTAGTGTGGGGCTAGATCTCACACTCCTCTGCATTTGACGTTTTGGGTGACTATTATAAAACAATTCTATGGGCCAGGGATTTAGCTCAGTGGTTCTGCCACCTGCTTCACAACCACAAGGTCCAGAGTTCAATCCCTGGTACCAAAAAATAAAATAATCCTATAAATTATGTGTCCTATATTAAATCTATTCCCTTGCAAACCCTGACTACAACAGTTGAGTATTATTCATCCGTAAAGAATGAAATTTTGTCATTTGCAAGAAAATGGATGGATCTGGAGATCATCATGTTGAGCAAAATAACCCAGATTCAGAAAGACAGATATCATGTTCTCCCTAATACTTGGAATCTAAAAAAGATGACATGACATGGGGCCGGGGATTTAGCTCAGTGGTTCTGCCACCTCCTTCGCAAGTGCAAGGTCCTGAGTTCAATCCCCGGTACTAATAAAACAAAACAAAACAAAAATAAATTAAAAAGATGACATGAAAGTGGAAGGAAAACTATTAAAGCCTGTGCTATACAGTGAATTCAAAGCCAGTCTGAACTAGACAGCAAGACCCTGTCTCAAAAAAAAAAAAATCTGGGGACCGAGATTTAGCTCAGTAGTATTGCCACCTGCCTTGAAAGTGCAAGGTCCTGAGTTCAATCCCCAGTACCAAAAAAAAAAAATCTAGAAATGACAGCTATGATGGAATTAAGATGATTTTAAAACTGTTATAAATATGTTCAAGTATTTAAAGAAAACCATAAACACAATAAGGAAAGAAAGATCCAGGGTGTGGTGGTGCATGTCTGTAATCCAGCACTTGGGAGGCTGAGTCAGAGGGATAGCCATGAGTTTGAGGCCAACCTGGGCTACACAGTGAGTTCAAGACCATCCTGAACTACATAGTAAGACCCATCTAAAAAAAAAAAGAAGAGAAAGAGACTATTAAAGAAACTAGCAAAAAAAAAGAGAGAAATTAATGGATATTAGATTACAGTTAGAAATAAGTTCTGGTGAGGTAGTACACACAAGAGGATGACTATCAAAAATGATGTACTATATATTTCAAAAAGCTAGAAGAACTCAGGTGTAGTGGTGCAAGCACTCTAGGAGACAAGAGGGTCAAAAGTTCAAGCTCCACCTGGGCAATTTAGCAAGGCCTTGTTTCAAAATAAAAACAAACAAGGACAGGGGACGTAGCTAGGGTATGGAGGCCATGGGTTCAATCCCCATTACAACAATTGAGTAGGATAGCCAATATATCCAAAAATATACCTTAGTATAATTATTTTATGTGCTCTCTATGTTTTTTGGCCTGTTAGCCTGCTGTTAATCTGTGTTTATAAAAATTAGCTTGAAAAAAAATTTAAAAACTAAAAATTAGCTTGATTATTTACTTTGAAATAAACCTGGGCCAGGGATCTAGCTCAGCCATACCACGCCTGCCCGTACAAACCCAAGGTCCTCAGTTCAATCCCTGTTACCAAAATAAATAAATAAATCTGATGCTTGTTAAAAAAAAAATTCTAAAAATAACGGGTGGAGGGGAAGAGGAAAAACATTGAGATGTGTGGTGTACATGTACCAATTCCCTACAATTAACGTAATCATTATACACTAATAAAAATTTTTTTAAAAAACAATGGAATCCAGGGCTGGGATTTAGTTCAGTGGTTCCGCTGCCTGCCTCCTAAACGCAAGGTCCCAAGTTCGATCCCCGGTACCAAAAAAAAAAAAGGGCAATTAAAAACAATGGAATCCAGATCAAGAAGTTGAAATCTGTTGGGTTTTTTGGGGGGTTTTTTTGGTACTGGGGATCGAACTCGGGTCCTTGTGCTTGCGCAGCAGGCGGCGAAACCGCTGAGCTAAATCCCCGGCCCCCGAAGATAATGTTTTTTTGGAGTTTGGGGGAGTTTTTTTGTTTTTTTTAAGACGTTGAAATCTGGTGAGGGCATTCATGCAACATCTATGGGGAATGGTGAAAGGCAAGAGGGCACACACGAGAAGGTAGGGAGCCACCACATGGCTGTAATCTCAGTACTCAGGAGGCTGAGGCAGGAGGATTGTGAGTTCAGCCCGTCTGGGCTCCACAGTGAGACTCTATCTCAAAAACAAATAAACAAGAGAGAGGGGTACAAATTCATTTTTCTCAACAACCTGCTACCTTGGTAACTAACCCACTCCTGTGATAGCATTAATTCACTCATCAGAGTAGAACCCTCATGACCTAACTACCTCTTCAAGGTCCCGCCTCTCAATACTGTTGCACTGGGGGTGTTATGTTTTGGTTCTTTGAGACAGTCTCCCTATGTAGTTCAGGCTGGCTTTGAGCTCACTGTATAGCCCAGCCTGGCCTCAAACTCAGGGCGAGATCTTCCTGCCTCAGCCTCTGAGTGCTGGGATTACAGGCCTGTGTGCCACCAAGCCAAGGAGCACTGTTGCATTGAGTATTAAATTTCCAAAGCATGAACTTTAGGGAATATATTCAAACTACAAAACCTACGAAGAGATCCTTCAACTTTGCCTGTCTATTCCCTTGACCAACTCTATTACCCACACACAGTCAGCTATTCATTTTGGAGTATAACTTCCACCTGTTCCACTTCAGTTTCTTTAATCTCCATGGGAGAATGAAAAGGATTCTTGATGCTTAAGAGTTAGCAACTCTGACCACCCCCCCCAAAAAAAGTGCCCCTTTCCTTTTTTTTCCAGTATTGTGAGTCAAACTCAGGGCCTCAGCATGCTAGGCAAGCTACCTCTACCACTGTACCAGAGCTATACCAGGTACCCAAAATAGACTTTCACTGGCCCAGGGTGGTAGCACACGCCTGTAATCCCAGCACTCTGAATGCTGAGGCAGGAGGATCTGTGTGGCCAGCCTGGGCTACATAGTGAGTTCAAGGACAGCCTGAATTACATAGTGAAACCCTGTCTAAAAAAAGAACCCTCTTGGTCTCTGTCCTCTTAAATTCGTTCATCTAGACTATATTTGGGGAAAGAGGGAGATTTATCTAGGCACCTTCTCCTAAAATGCTTGGTATCCTAGAGAGAAGAAAAGCTAGCAGAGTGAATCTATCTGCCATTTTGAAAGCAAGTTGGAGTCTAGGTCAGGCTAACTTGCAAACATTGGCCCTTCCTAGTACCACCTAGTGGACAGTAAGAAACTAACAGCTCTGTGCCCCTGTACTGTAAATAGCCAGTCCTAAAAGAACTCTCCCAGACCCCTAGAATCTTTGCTATTTATACATAAGAAGGCAATCATATGCAAGAAGGGAAATGTCAAATAAATAGTAATATAGCCTCAGGAATAGAAAATAAAGCCAGGGCCTAATTTAATTCACTATGAGCTACCACTGGGGAAGTAAACTAAAACCTTCTGTCTCACACATTCCAAAACAGAAACAAGAGGAAGAATGTATCACACATTCTTTAGCTTTAGCTCATCATTGGTTGAATCAATGACTTTCAAGCTTACTATAGCCAGGTGCGGTGGTGCACGCCTGTAATCCCAGCACTTGGGAGGCTGAGGCAGTTAAGGATCACCATGAGTTCAAAACCAGCCTGGGCTACATAGTGAGTTCAAGGCCAGCCTGAATTACATAGAGAGACCCTGTCTCAAAATAAAACAAACAGACACCCCCCCCAAGTAAAAAAAAAAAAAAGCCAAAACAAACATTATGCATACATACAAACTACTTATTTTACATGTACATAAGTAGATTATATATTTTACACAAAAAAATATCATGGGATGTCTATGGACTGAATTTTGCACCCCAACCCCAAATGTTGAAGTCCTAATTCTCAACATGATGGCATTTGGAGGCAATGCCTTGAGGACATAATTAAATTTAGACATCATGAGAGTGGGATCTCATCCTAGGATTAATGTCCTTAGAAAGACTCTAGCAGGATTTGGTGGCATAGGCCTGCACACTTGTAATTCAGGCACTTGAGAGGCTGAGGGGGGAGGATATGAGTTTGGGGCCAGCCTGGGCAATTTAAGTGAGTTCCAGGCCAGCCTGGATTGCATAGCTAGATACTGTCTCAAAAAATAAGACAGACAGAGACAGAGGCAGAGAGATGGAGAGAGAGGAGGAAGAGAGGCAGACTCTGTTGGACTGGGGATACAGCTCAGTGGTAAGACAGTTTCCTATTGAGTACAAGGCCCTGAGTTCAATCCTCAGTACCAAAGAGGGAAAAAAAGCCAGATGTAGTGATGCATGCCTGTAATGCCAGCACTCTGGGAGTCTGACTCAGGAGGATTGCAAGTTGAAACCCAGCCTGGTCCATTTATTGACTTAATAAGACCCTGCCTCAAAAATTTTTTAAAAGCTGGGTATGGGAAAGATACTAGGAGCTGAAAAGAAAGAAGCAAAGTCAGACATGCATGTTGTCTACTTGAGTTTATTTTTGTTCTTAAAAAAAAAAAGGAAAAAGAGGTTGGGGTAGACAAGGAAATAACTCATAAACACTGTGAACAGGAACCAAGACTCAAGACTCCAAGACTGGGTATGCTCCTCCACCCTCCATCTCGGTTCTCCCAGATTCCCACTCACCTCCCAGGTTTCCCATTCATCTGATTTTCTTTTAAACAAGACACCCAAATCAGGTATCTGGGATAGTCACTGAGATTTTGAACACTGGGAATGGGAAGGAGAAAGTCCAAAAAACAGGAGTTGGGAAGAGGAGGGAAGGAATGAGGGAGAGACTGTGCTCTGGAGGACAGAGGTGGGCCATGAGAGGTGGAAGTAGTGAGCTGGGAGGGGGTGCCCCTCCTGACTGCTCCCGCTCACACCCCTCTGGACCCCAGAGAGCCCTGTGGTTTGTTCTGCAGTCCATTCCCTACTCCCCAGGCCTCACAGGCCTAGCTCCAAGTCCTCTAGCTCTTCCTCCAGCACCCTCCTCCTTGCGAGCTTCTCCAGCTGCTCTTTGCTGGGCTGGCTGACTTCCCCACTCTGGATCCGCTGCTGCAGCTCTTCCACCTGCCGAAGCTTCTTCTTTAGGTTCTTAATCTTCTTGGCTTTCTCAGTGGTGACAGCAGAATCAGGCAGGTCAGAGGCAGCTGTAGGGGCTGCCTGGGAGCCTGGCGGAGCACTGGGGAGTTGGGCTGTCTCTCCCAGGGACACCTTATCAAGAGTCCTAATCAAGGCCTCTACCTCTCCTTTCTCTTGCTGCTGCCGCCTCTTCTCCTTTCGCTTCAGGTTTCGCTTGGCTGTTTTGGAGAGGCCTGGTTCACCACCTTCAGGTCTGGATGGGGTGACAGGAGCAGTGGCCTCAGGGCTCAGCCCTGGGGGAAGTTCTGGTTTACTCTTGAAAAACTTTACATACTTGTTTTCATACCTGCAGGAAACAGAAGATATCAACAAAACTTCGGACCAGGGATTTAGCTCAGTGGCACCGCACCTGCCTGGCAAGAGCAAGCTCCTGAGTTTGATTCTCCGTACCAAAAAAAAAAAGTTAAAACTAAACTTCCAAGAACTGCTGACTTTTTTTATTCTTTTCTTAATCTTCCAAATCTGATCATACTCCTACTTCCTTCCTCCCTTTAGGTTCCTCCCCAGCTCTGCTCCACTCTGCAGGAGAGGCTGTAAGAGGGTTCCTAGGACCCAAAGGTCTGAAGCTCTGTTATTTGGAGATTCTGATGTACAGACCTCATGGAACAAACAAGACCGGTCACATGTAACCCTCAAGTCATCCCTGAATCCCAGCCCCTTCCTTCCTTTTCCTTGGAGCTCAGGAGAGTCATCCTTGAACTTGCAGACAAGCATATTCTATCCTTCTGTGGGATCCCCATTTAATACCCTCCATCAACCCTAACCACGCACACGGGGACCTCCTCCTGGGGTACGTAGCCTTCTTTCACCCTCCGCTGCTTACGCCAGGTCCCGTCAGGCCGCTGTGTTGAGGCGATGTACTTCCCTGAAATGAAAGAAATTAAATTGGAGAGTTCTTTGTTTTCCAGTATTTTCCAAGATGAAACAATGCATAAATGTACATAGCCTCCCTCAGCACCCATCTCTCCACCAAATACAAACTCTTAAGGCATCTTTTCTCATTATCAACACTCAGACTTTCTCATTACTCAGTGACTGTGCACTGTACAACATACCTTCCTTGCCCTCAAGAAGCTTCTATTTATTTTAGCACTCAGAAGGTTGAGGCAGGAGAATTGCTGTGAGTTCGAGGCCAGCCTGGGCTACATAAGGAGTTCAAAGCCAGCCTGAACTACACAGTGAGACCTTGTCTCAAAAAGAAAGAGAGAGAGAGAGAGAGAGAGAGAGAGAGGAGGAGGAGAAAGAGGAGGAGGGAAAAAAAAAAAAAAAAAGGAAGAGGAGGAGGAAGTGAGGAAGGGAGAGGAGGAGGAAGAAGGAGCTTTTGTTTTTCTTTTGGAGACAGTTTTGCTGTGTAGTCTAGGCTAGTCTTAGACTAAGTAGCCCAGCTGGCCTCAAACTCATGTCACCCTCCTGCCTCAGCCTCTTGAGGGCTGGGATTATAGGCATGGGCCACTATGACCAGCTTGAAGCTTCTATTTTTATAACTTATTTGGCAAGACAAGACAGGCATGGTTTTAAAAAACATAGGCACTGGGCCAGGGATTTAGCTCAGTGGTTCTGCTGCCTCCCTTGCAAGTACAAGGTCCCGAGTTTGATCCCTGGTACCCCCCCAAAAACAAAACATAAAGCATTTATTTGAGCTCTGCCGGGACAACTTACCAAGACCCTGTCTCAAAATAAAAAATAAGAAAGGGCTGGGGCTGGGTGTGGTCGCGCATGCCTGTAATCCCAGCACTCAGGAGGCTGAGAGAGGAGGATCACTGTGAGTTCAACGCCAGCCTGAACTGCATAGTGAGACCCTGTCTCAAAAAAAAAAACAAAAACAAAACCATAAAGCAATAACAAGGGGACATCAGAGACAGTAAATGAACAAAAGGTTAAATGAGGCAAAAAACAATAATTACAGGGAGATGAAATAATCATAGATGCTGGGGCCAGGGATTTAGCTCAGTGGTTCCACTGCCTGCTTTGCAAGCGCAAGGACCCCAATTCGATCCCCAGTACCAAAATAATAATAATAATAATAATCACAGATGTTATAGAGATGGAGAATTTTCATTTAGATGGACCTTGAAAAATAAGACAACTTTTAGGAATACACATTACAGATATAAAAGCACTAGTACATAAGGATATATGTAAAGGACATTTGTTTATATATTATTTAAATTAGCAAAGAAGCTAGAAGCAACGTAAATGGCCATCAAAAGTGAATGAATGCTGGATATGGTGGCACAAACCTATAATTCCAGCACTTGGGAGGCTGAGGCAAGAGGATCCCAGTGAGTTCAAGGCCTGCCTGTGCTACATAATGAGTTTAAGGCCAGCCTGAAATACGTAGCAAAACTTTGTCTCAAAAAAAAAGTGAATAATCAAATAGTTTGGTTCATCCACACAACTGAACACCATGCTGTTGTTAAAGGACCGTTGAGATACTGACAATGAGTAGTGTTCATGATACTCTAAATGGAAAAGCAAGTTGCAGGATAATGTGTGGAGGTCTTCAAACTTTTTTATTTCTGGACCTCCTTTACACTTTTGTTTTGCAATATGCATTCTTGTATGCAGTAGAAAAAATTCATATTCATAAATCGCTTCAGAAGTCTTTTTAAGGATTAAGAAGCTGTCAAGTTCACAGTGTCAGATACAAGTTTTCTGATTTTTTGCCTGAGGCTTGGAATTTTATCACTGGCAACAAATACTGTCAGTTAATGATTTTCCTTGAAATGACAGGCTTTCTTCATTTTCAGGAAAATGGCTGTCAGATACATCTGAATTGCCAGTTTGTCAGTGGTTCTCACACATAAAAACCATGAAAAAGAAGTTTATTTAGTTTGCAACTGGAACAATCATACAAGTGCTCTTCCTTGAGTTAATCATCCTCAATATGTGGCAGAAATCTTTCATGCTTAGTTTTTACTTAGAAAGGATGTATAACTTTTACTGCATTATCAAGTAATTCAAATGAAATTAGCGATTAACTGGAAGTATGTGGCAATGAAGAACACAATAACCAGTATAGCTTGGTGCTATTCCATGCCAAAGGCATGCGTAAGGAACCAGTTTTATCCACCATGTCTTTTTTTTTTTTTTTGGTACCGGGGATCGAGCTCAGGACCTTGAGCTTTCGAGGTAGGCGATGTTATCCACCATGTCTTTGTCCATCAGTGAAAAAGTCGACCCAGTGAAAAAGGTAACTGATTCTCAGTATTATTATGAAAATGGTTTTTCTTCTAAAACTCCTAAAAGTCTTCAGAACCCCTCCACAAGGGTCCAGACAATACTTTGCAAATAGCTGATAGACAGTATGGCCTCATTTTTGTTGGAGAAAGGGGTAGGACTTAAAAGCCTATTAGGATGTGTATAAAGACAAAGGGGAAAGGTGTGGAAGGACACATACTAAGCCTTTAATTCTGGCCACCTAAGAGGGATAACCTGGAAGAATATGAATACATACATATGTGTGTGTGATATATATACATATATTATATATAACATGTATTCGATAAGTATTATTATATATTACATATATTTTGTAAATATAGATTTTTAAGTTAAGCTCCTCCCACATAGATTGGTTTTTCTGTTCAAAATGTAAAAATCACTAACAGACTACAACCAAAAAATTATTAAAGAAAATGGGTAAGATTTGACAGATGGTGGAGACAGAAAAAAGAAAAATCATGAGCAAAATAGCTCAAACATGAGCAAAGAAAGCCATGTGGTAATGGGCCTGGGTATTTAGGGAATAGAAGGAGTGAGGCCCAAGTGAATCGGATCAGGAATAAAAAATGGGGCCAGATCTTAGAAAGTCTTAAAAACAAGGTCAAGAAATTTGGACTTTATTAGGGGTAAGGAGAAACACTGAAGACATGCTGAGGATACATTTTGGCTTATTGTGGTAGTGTGGAGACAAGAATAAAAAACCAAACAAAGAAACAAACTGAGAGGCTTTGGAGGAAGGCCTGAAACTACAGCTGGGCTCTAAGAAATGGTCAAATTAAAGTAAATTAACAGGGAGATAGGGCCGGGGATTTAGCTCAGTGGTTCCACCGCCTGCCTTGAAAGCACAAGGTCCCAAGTTCAATCCCCGGTACCAAAAAAGGGGGGGGCAGACAGAATGAATTTGAAACACAGGCTCCTTATGAAACAAAAGTTCAGACACTGAAATCCTTTGAAAATGAGCAGGATTTAGACAGATAGAGGTGTGGTGGAGGAAAGTGGAGAAAGGGAAGAATTTCACATATTGGGACACCACCAAAGGGACAAATAAGACTATTAACACCTCTACTTGAAATCCTTCCTAGATTCCTGTGGCCCTCAGAGTGCTCACATGGAGGCCTTCTTGCTCTTGCTAGTCTCCAGCCTTAGTGCTCAGCCAGCCACTAACTCTCTGGATCTACCACTGAAATATTTAAAAATCTCACCTAGAACCATGCTTCTACTCTCTATGCCATTTTGCTTTGTTTCCCTTTGCTGCAAATATACTTTCCTTGCTTCTTCTCTTAGTTAATTCCTACTGGACTTTAAAGGTGAAGTTCAAGTATAGACTCCCAACATACCCTTCCCTGACGTCCCCCTCACAAGCCAGGCTAGAAACTGCCCTTTGTGCACACATAGCACCTATTTTAGCCTTTATCATGCTCGGCCTAACATTTACTGAACTGTTTTCTCCAAATCAGGGATTTTGTCTTTGAACTTTGTAGCAAAGAACTTGGCTCAGAGGAGACAGTAAATACTGGATGAATTAATGAATAAAAATTTAAGCATATTAGGGAATAGCAAGAACCCAGTATGTTTTGGACAAAGGCATATATAATAAGAAAAGAGACTAGAGGTATTTGTGAGAGTATGAAAGGTTTCAAGTCTTCACCGAGTTTGGACTTAAACCTTAGACTGGGAGAATGCTGAAAGCCAATAAATTAGTACAGGTAGATTTGCTATAAGCAATGGTTTAAGACTAACCCCAAAATGCTCAGGTGCTCAAGGGCCATATACAAAATGGGATATTTGCATATAACCTACACAGATCTTCCTATATATTTTAAATTATTTCTAGATTACTTGTAATTTCTAATATGATATAAATGCTATGTAAATAGTTATTATACTGTCTAGGGAATAATGAGAAGAAAAGAGTGCTGACAATTTTTTTTTTAGAGAGATGGGGTCTTGGGCTGCAGTTGTAGCTCAATGGCAGAGTTCTTGCCTAGGATATGGAAGGCCCTGGGTTCCATCCCCAGCACCATAAAGGGAGGAGAGGGGATGAGGGTCAGTCATGCTGTGTTGTCCAAGCTGGTTCCCAATCCTGGATTAAGCAATCCTCCTACCTGAGCCTTCCCAGTATCTGGGACTATAGGCACATGCCACACTCAGTTCTGAATATTTTTAATTTGAGGTTGGTTGGCAGATGCAGAACCTACATATACCAAGAGGCAACTGTACCATAAACTAAAAGTACAGAGGCCGGGGATTTAGTTCGGTGGTTCCGCTGCCTGCCTCGAAAGCACAAAAAACCCCAAAACAACTAAAAGTAGAGAAAATGAAAGCAATAGCTGCAATGTGAGACTGTGATTTCATTAGTCTCTGGTATGGAAAGGAATATGAAAGAGAAATCCACTATGAAGGATACATTAACAGCATCCAAAGATTGCTATGATTTGAATTAGAGAGGAAATAATCAAAATAGTGTTACATAGATTGGTGTCTTTCACATGCATTATCTTATTTTTCACATCTCTCTGCGTAAACAGGGCATATGGTAATAACACTTATTCACACATGGATTTTAAATGTTTATTGATCACTTACTGTTGTGCCAGGCACTGTAACAGGAGCTAGAGATACAATAATGAATAAAACAGG